GGAGAATATCACGTTCAGTGACGCAGATGCAGAAGGCCTCATGACTCCACATAACGATGCACTGGTAATATCATTACTCGTACATGATACTAATGTTAAACGTGTTCTGATTGATCCAGGTAGTTCAGTAAATATTATTTTGATACGAGTGTTACGCGAAATGCAAGCTGAGGACAAGTTGGTTCCAAAAGCACATACTTTGTTAGTGTTTGATAATTCTAATATCATAACCACGGGTGAAGCGGTCCTTACCACCTTTGCAGAAGGTGTTGTCAAAGATACTAAGTTTCAGGTGGTAGATATGGAGATGGCTTATAACATAATCCTTGGGAGGCCATGGATCCATGATATGGATGCTGTACCATCAACATTGCATGAAGTTATTAAATTTCCCTCACCATGGGGAATTTGCCAAATCACAGGTGATCAACAAACGTCTAGGAGTATAAACTCCGTTGCAGATTCAACTGTTCAAGGTGAAGCCAAATAGCAATTACAGGATTCAGTTAAGGAGGGAGCAGCTTCAACCTCAACTGAAGAAGGAAAAACAGATGTGGATTCAAGGCCTGACACTATTCAAGAACCAGAGGAAAACGAGAAAATCAAAACCACGATAGAAGAACTCGAAGCTGTGGTATAATTTGTACACCAGCCCGAAAGGAAGGTGTATATAGGAGCCAATCTCAGACCAGAGGTAAAACGTGAGTTAATTGATTTTTTAAAAGCTAACGTAGATTGTTTTGCTTGGTCCTATTCTGACATGACAGGGATACCACCGGAGGTTATGACTCATAAATTAAATGAAGATCCAACATATCCTCCGATCAAGCAAAAGAAGCGGAAACAAGGAGCTTTCAAGAATCAGGCAATTCAAGAAGAGGTTCAGAAGTTGCTCAAAATAGGGTCAATTTGTGAGGTAAAATATCCCAACTGGTTGGCTAATACTGTTGTGGTTCCCAAGAAAAATGGTAAGTGGCGTGTTTATGTGGATTACACAGACCTCAATAAAGCCTGTCGAAAGATTCTTTTCCTTTGCCACACATAGACCAATTAATTGATGCAACTGCAGGGCATGAACTGTTAAGTTTTTTAGATGCGTACTCAGGTTATAATCAAATCAAAATGGACCCAGGAGACGAGGAAAAAACTTCTTTTATAACAGACAGGGGGACTTACTGTTATAAGGTAATGCCATTTGGTCTTAAAAATGCAGGTTCAACGTATCAAAGGTTGGTTACTAGAATGTTTCAAGAACATTTAGGCAAAACCATGGAGGTATATATAGATGACATGTTAGTTGAAACTCTGCATTCAAAGGATCATATATCACATTTATCTAGAACATTTGAAATTTTGCGCAAATATAATATGAAATTGAATCCGAGAAAATGTGCATTTGGTGTAGCATCAGGAAAATTCTTGAGTTTTCTTATTTCTAACTGTGGTATTGAAGTGAACCCAGCTCAAAATAAGGCTATGGAAGAAATTCCTGATGTACTTTCAAACAAAAAAGAAGTTCAAAGACTGACAGGAAGGATCGCAGCCTTGGGAAGATTCATCTCAAAGTCATCAGAAAAGTGTTTCAAGTTTTTCCCAGCCCTTAAAAAGCAAGATCACTTTGAATGGAATGAAGAATGTCAACAAGCACTTAGAAACTTGAAGACATATTTGGCAAACCCACCACTGTTAGCAAAACCTAAGGCTGGTGAAAGACTTTTTATCTACCTTGCTGTTTCAGAAGTTGCGGTAAGTGCAGTTTTGGTTCGGGAAGAACAAGGTAAACAATCTCCTATTTATTATGTTAGTAAATCTTTGTTAGATGCAGAGTCACGATATCCGCAATTAGAGAAATTAGCACTAGCTTTAATCATGGCATCTAGAAAATTGAGACCGTATTTCCAGTGTCACCCAATTGTTGTAGTAACTGCATTCCCCTTATGTAATATACTGCATAAACATGAGTTGTCAGGAAGGTTAGCTAAATGGGCTATAGAATTAAGTGTATGAAATCACGTATCTACCCAGAACAGCAATAAAATCCCAAGTACTGGCAGATTTCGTGGCTGATTTTAGCCAAGGGATGCAATTGGAAGCCGAAAAAGAAGTTCAGGTACTTAATGGAGCAAATCCAGGGGTATGGACTTTATTCACTGATGAATCGTCTAACATTAAAGGTGCAGGGTTAGGAATTATTTTAGTACTTCCCATGGGAGAAACTATTAGGCAAGCTATTAAATGTCACTCCGTAACTAATAATGAAGCAGAGTATAAAGCTGTGATTGCAGGTCTAGAATTGGCACGTGAACTTGGGATAAGCCAGGTGGTAATCAAAAGTGATTCTCAACTCGTGGTTAATCAAATGCTGGGGACTTGCACAGCCAGGGAGGCAAGGATGCAGCAATACTTGGAAAAGGTAAGGGAACTGATAAAACAATTCTAGTCTTGGAAAGTTATCCAAATACCAAGAGATGATAATGTTGAAGCTGATGCCTTAGCGAACCTTGCATCCGCAGCTGATATAACAAAAGATGCCAACGCCTCAGTTATACATTTATTTCACTCGGTTCTTGAACCTGATAAGAACGAGGTAAAATTTAATAATCTAACTTGGGATTGGAGAAATGAAATTGTAGCTTTTTTACAGTATGGTACCGTACCTGATGACAAGACAAAAGCACATGCACTTCGTAAAAAGGCAGCTCGTTACTGTTTAAAACAAGGTAACCTTTATCGAAAGATGTTTGGTGGCCCCTTAGCAAGATGCCTTGGACCTTCTCAAACGGAATATGTAATGAGGGAAATACATGAAGGACATTGTGGAAACCACGCAGGAGGAAGGTCACTGGTAAGAACTTTGATCAGGGCAGGGTATTACTGGCCCAAAGTGGAAGAAGAAGCAACGAGCTTTGTAGCCAAATGCGATAAATGCGAGAGATACGGTAATAATATGCACAGACCTGCCGAGTTGTTACATCCGGTTATTGCACCGTGGCCGTTTATGAAATGGGGAATGGACATAGTTGGACCATTGCCTCAAGCTAAAGGACAGGTAAAATTTCTACTCGTACTTGCTGACTATTTTACTAAATGGGTAGAAGCAGGAGCATTTAAATAGGTACGGGAAAAGGAAGTCAAGGATTTCATTTGGCGAAATATCATTTGTCGGTTTGGTGTACCAAAAGAAATTGTATGTGACAATGGTCCACAATTTATCGGAGCTCAGGTCACGGAATTCCTTCAAAGTTGGCAAATAAAAAGGATAACATCAACACCATACCATCCAGTAGGGAATGGGCAGGCGGAATCGACAAATAAAGTTATCATCAATAATTTAAAGAAACGATTGGAGGAATCGAAGGGTAACTGGCCTGAAGTATTACCTGGAGTCTTATGGGCATATCGTACAACCACGAAAACAAGCACAGGTGAGACTCCCTTTTCTTTGGTTTACGGGGCTGAGGCACTTATCCCAGTTGAGATAGGGGAGCCAAGCACGAGGGTGTCACAAGCAACGCAGGAATCTAATGATGAAGAGATGCGGGTCAATTTAGATCTCTTAGAAGGCAGGAGAGGGGCTGCGTTAATAAAAATGGCCGCACACAAGCAAGTGATTGAACAATATTACAACAGGAAAGCCCGTTTGCGATACTTCAAAATTGGGGACTTCGTGCTTAAAAAGGTCTTTCAATCTACAAAGGCAGCCAACTCTGGTAAGCTAAGTCCAACTTGGGAAGGGCCCTATAGAATTCATGATATTGCAGGGAAAGGAGCATATGAGTTGGAGACAATGGACGGGAAAATACTTCCCTCACATTGGAATGTTGTTCATTTAAAGAGATATTACTTCTAAGGAAAAACACTTGGTCAGGTATCATTATGTTAGATTTTATTTTTTGAATTATTAAAAAATGTTTGACTAACGATTTTAGATGATAGGCAAAATGCTTACCCGTACTAAATGATGAGTCACGACCTGTAAGGCAAAATGGAATACACTAAAATTCCAGGCCTAGGGTTACAATAATTCTGATAGAAACCTATACGGGTAAAGCAGTCTCCATCTATAATCATACCCCCGAGTCCCGTACGTATTTCCTTTTCAGGAAAGGGGCCGAATGAAGGAAACTATCAAGTGCTCGAGGCTTCATACTTCAACACTCAAACACTTGGGGGACTACATAGAATATACAGTCACGTGTATATGAAAGGCAAAGAAGATGGAGTAAAATCAAGCCTAAAAGAAGTCAAGTGCCGAGTGGAAGCTAATGAGTGATGCAATTTCATCATAGTATTCTTTCTCATGAGAACAATGGAGTCACCTCTCAAACCCTTCCTAATATTTTGGAGCTAAGGGAAACCCACTATACTTCATAAATAGTTAGGGTGAAGGCTGTATACTAAAACGGGTTATAAGAAAAAACCCTGTATCTATTGTTCTATTTTTTGTGAATCTGTTACAAGAAAAACAGTTACGAGAAAGTTATAGATGTAATTCAAATACATGTAAGGAATGATTTACAACTTGTTAAAAGTTCAAGAATAAAAACTTGTTCAAGTTATTTCAGATAAATATGTATGTTCCTATTTCTTATATCGTATAAAACACCATTATGAAGTTGAGACGTCTTCTTCATCAAGTGTCAATATATAAAAGGGCCTTTTTTTATAAAACTCATGTTATTTAATCGTGAGAACAATGAAAGCATTTTCAGAAAATAAAAATACAATCTATTCTTTAAGTCCTACAAAAATAAGAGGCATGAATAGAACAGATGGGAGTTTGGGAAAACGAACTTCTTAAATATTAAAAATCAAGTATAAAACTTGATCATCGAATCAAAAGTGCCCCTTAAACAAAATTTGGGGACTTGAAGTCTTAAAAACTCTAAGTCAGGAGTTCGATTACAAAAAGTTATCATAAGAAACCAAAAACTTTGAACATAGACTTCCAAAGGGGCACCTGCAAAAAGGGGAAACCTCAAATTACAAAAAAGAACCTTTTAAGGTAAAAGAACTGAAGAGGGATCATTTACAGGCTCAACGGCACTTGTATCATCAACAGCTAAGAGTTGATCTTCAGTCATGGTACTGGCAACATCCGCGGGCGAAACCTCAACTTGACTAATGGCAATAGGCGCGAAAGAACTTAAAGGAAGTGCAACACTAGCAGTGATCTCATCAGTCACAGGAGTCTCAGGTACAGCAGACACGGGGACTTCAGGTACAGGAACTTCATCTATGGGAGCTTCAACCAAAGCAGTCTCAACTAAAGAAGTTTCATTTGAAGGAACCTCAATCAAAGGGTTTTCAACTACGGGAAGACTAGTTTCAGGAGATGAAAAATTCGGCGGCTGTTGTGCTCTCTCAATGGCTTCATTTACCTTAGCCAACTCGGATTCAAGGTTAAAATCTTCCTGGCTCACCTCTACCAAAGTGTCACGGCGGGTCTTGAGATAGGTCCAACTCACTTCAATATTGGAGGATTCCTCGAGAAGTTCATAATCCTTCTCCCAGGTCGTAACTTCGTTCTTGAGCTCCTCATTCTTAAGCAAAAGAGAATCATGAGATGACTGCAATGAGGTGTGAGAATTTTCCAAAGCACGAACTTTGTCTGCAGAGGCTCGCAATTCTTCTTGTACTCGAGCAAGTTCTTGAGCCACCCCTTCTGCATGTATTTCCTTCTGAGCCAACAAAGCTTTTAGAGCTTTATTTTCATCAGCAACCGTGGATAATTGCTCTGCAAAAAGCTCTTTTTCTCTCTTAGATTGATCTGCAGTAGCCTTGACCGTTGCCAATTCAGAGGTAAGAGTTTGGACTTGTTTCTCTAAAGAACTTTTTCTCTTCTCCAAAATGTCCATATCAATCTATGAACTTTCATACTGGCCTTTCCAATTGTTAGCCTCCAATTGAGAGTCACGAGCAACTTCTTCTGCATCGTGAGTAGTTTTCTCCAGGTCACGAGCCAGTTTCTCTAAAAGAGGAACTCGATTCATAAGCTCGGTACCAATGAGGTTGACCTGTTCATGTGAAAGATATAAGGTTAAAATTCCTAAAGAAAAAAATCTTGAAAAAACAAGAGATTAAGGAATACCTTCAAACTGGCATGAACAATGTCGTTTAGGAGAGTCATGTTACTATGACTCTCGAGTTTTGCTTTCTCAATAGGGCCGATCAAAGGTTCGAGCCAGGTGTCGGCTTGCCCAGATTTCCTCAGAAGACTGCTATTAGCAGGGACTTCAATGGTAACACTCCTCATAGTGGAACTCCTACTTGAGGAACCCACTTCTGTGTGATGAACTATGGGAGGAGTGATTGTCGGAGAAGGAGCAGTAGAGAAAGGAATGGAAGTAACGGATGAGGGAGGCAGAGAAACAATCACAGGAACGGTAGAGGAAGACAAGGGAAGCTCATCCAAAACCGGACCTAAAGGACCACTACTAAAACCACTGATAAAAAGCTGGTTTATAGAATCAACAGTATCAGACGGGGGAGAAATGTCATCATCAGGAATGACTACTGGAACAACAACAGGTTTGGAAAGGGGCAGGTCAGGAGAGACATTGATCTCATCATCAGAAACAATTCGTCTCCTGGCTCGTGGTCTAGTTACCAAGGAGCCCTCACCCTCTCCTTCAGAATCATCTTCAAGAACTGATTTTCTTTTCTCAGACCTCGGGGGAGCTGAAATATCTTGATTCGATCCTAGGAATATGTCTTGTCCACGAGATGCCAAGACACCCTCAAGAGTAACTCCTCGAGTGGCAAAACCTAAGAAAAGAAAGGTTAAAAAGCCAAGATAGTAGAAATATTTAAGGTAAAAAAAAATACACAAACTCTTACCATGAGTTTTTGGTTTCCAACCGTAGCGACTGGAAAAGGTTTTCCATGTCCTACCTTCCATTGGAGCAACCTTCAAAAGTTTTTCTACCCAACCACGGATATTGGATACGGGTGCAACCATACCCATGGTTGCTGAAAAAGAAACAGGATAGTAAAAAACAGGTAAGGTTGAAAATAAAAAGGCACAGGGATATTTAATACTTACGTGCAAAGTTCCACTTCTCCGGGAAGAGGATGTTCTTTTCACCGACTAGACCCACGGTGGGGGCAGCAACATACCGAGCATACCAGCCACGGTCTTTATCGTCTTCAACATTCACCAAGACTCTTTTGCTCCTAGCTTCTAAACCAAATATTCCGTTTCGGAAAAACCTAGGAGAGTAGAGGTGAATTAAATGGGGGAAAGTAAATTCTACGTTGGCCTTACTAGCAAGGTGCCTCAAGCAGGAAACAACTCGCCATACTATTGGCCCAATTTGACCCAGGCAAACATCGAAGAAGCGACAGAAATCTAGAATGACCGGGTCGATGGCTGGCTTGAACCCTAAAGTGAATGGGTAGGTATAAACAAAGGAATAACCTATAATATAAGAGGTGATTCTTTGATTTGGGGTAGGAATAATAATAGGGAAATCTTCAGCCCAATGACACTCCTTCCTAACTACGGGCGCTAAAACACTTGTGATTAAAGTGGGGTAAGGATCAGCACGATCTAGTGCAGCAACTTGAGTTTTTAAGGATTCCTTATCATGATGAAAAGAGAATTCTGTGGGAATAATTTCCTCCACCAAGGGTTCATGCAGTGGCTCAGAAGAATCCTTACTTCGAGAGGAACCCCTTTGAGGATGCGAACCCCTGGTTCCAGAAGAAGGACCATAACCAGAAGGAGGCGTTGAAGTGCTACCACGAGTGGAGCTTAAATTGCGTAGTCTGCCTCCTCTTCTATGTCTTACAGGTGCATTAGGAAAATTATCTAAAATGAGAGTTTTCCTAGGGTTAGGATTTGATGAAGCAATGGATGCAAGAGTTGAACTAAAGCAGGAAATAATGGAGAAAATTTGCAAGGCGGAAGTGTTCAATTCAATTTATGAGGAACAAGACAAAAAGAGAAGCTATATTTATACTATTGGAAAAAGTACGATGATGAAGGAACCGTAATAATGATAACTGATACTTCGTGAAAAGTGAGGCCGAAAAGAAAGCCTAAAAAAGTGTTGCGAGACAGTACAACCAATGAGGAAGCAACACGTGTCTAGTGCATTAAAAGGAAGTGACAATTGAAGCGTCAACTTTATCAGAGTGTTCATGGTGACAAAAATTCTCCTTTTATGAAATCCACTTCCCAAGTATTCAAACTGATGAATAAATGGAAAGTGGGGGGACTATCTGTATTGGGGAAAAATATATACATAAATGAATGATGATTAGGCATGACACGTGGAACTATCAAAAGGTTATAATTTGTCAAAGAATCATAGACTGGTACGAAAAGGTGTGAGACAAAAGGATAAAAAAGAGATACGGGATCAAAAAGGAGGTACGAGATAAGAGGCTCGGGAGCCCCGTCCCTATTTAAGCGCAATTATGTACGAGATACGAAAAGGATAACGAACCTGGTCAAATAAGAGGATAAAGATACATCATTTCAAGAGAAACAAATGCCGGAGCCATTAAAGAATATTTGTATTCAATGTAATGATTATGTAAAGCAACATTTAATGTCATTAAATATTCATAATAGCCTCATTATGGCTTAGGTGTAACGTACACTTACAAAGATTCTCCAAAGAGACCTATAAAAGGAGAAATATGTAATCAGTGGAAAAACAAGGCATTATTGGGATATATTTTGATTTACAAGCTTTCATATCTGAGTACTTGGAAATTCTTTTCTTTACTTATTTTTCGATTATCAGTAACTCGATTCTTCTATTTTTCTAGATTTGACTAAAAATCCATTTTTTGGTTGAACACTTTGATAATTTGGATCATAACTGTGGTCTGGACCACTAACTTGTTTCAACCTTGGCATTATAGTACGAATTGTGTGTATACTGGAAGCAAGAATGATTTGTAAAATTATTCATACTCTAAATTCTATGCCTGTGTTTGACCGGCAAACTTTGCTTTTGTGAGAGGTCTACTTATATTTCGGGTTCAACATTCTGCATAGTCCTTATCAGAGAGATGTAGTTGCTGGGGCGATTTGGTTTCAGCCTAGCCTATAATCCTTATTTTTGCAGAATGTTCAGCATGTATTAGAGGACCTCAGTTTTAGGATTTATTATTTAGACTGATTTTTTTTTAATATTCAGGTATCAGTACGACGTGAATGCTCCTGGTGCAGCTTCGTCTTGCATCTACTGGGGATTTGAACTTAAATATATCTATCTATGTGTAATGCCAACACAATTTTTCAGGCTTATGCCAGCTGGAATAATCTGAGCAATGTCAAGGAATTCTACCAGGCAAATCTTCTTACTTTAATAAATAGCCCGGTATCAATTTCTTCACACACATTCAAGGATATCATTACTTGACACTATAAATTTCACTCTGTCTACCTGCTGTTACTTATACATATTCATGAGATATTACCACTTGTTGATTTCCTGCTACTGAATATCTGGGACACATTACTTGAGTAATTTAAGAAACAAAATATCCAATCAACTGTACTTCATAAGATAGTGTATGAGATATCTAGCATATCCTCCTCCTCCTGTTAGTGACAGACATATCCCCGTTTTTCGAATTTTATTTGGCAGGATGCAGTCTCACCAATTGGAGGAAGCAGGTCCATCATTGATGTTCATCACAGAAGAAATTATTTCATTATCCCACAGAATAAACTTGGTCAGGACATTTTCATAAGAGCTACGGAAATCAAGGAACTACCTAGCATAACTAAAATGCCGTCTGGAGATAGCAAACCAATTAAAGTACGTGTTGCAAAGAATATGTTGGATTCACACTTGAACGGAAGTCTTTTTGAAAAAGGCAAATCAATGTTGACAATAATAATAGCAGAGGCAGAGGCAGAGGTATGTTTCTTTGATAATGCTAATAGAAAAGCTAAAGGTTTTGTGTAAAATACATCAGCACCAAATGACTCAGAGAGTTGTGTTTAATAGAGGACGTGGAAATTAAGAAAATTACTAGCTGTTTCATAATTGATGTTTCAAGGCATGAGACTGTCTATTTAAATTCTGCTCTATTTCATGTCTTTATTAAGAACTTTCTATAACAGAATAAAATATAAATCGTGTTTCCTCTTCAAAAGCTTTAGCGTATAACTAAGGTTTTTGCACAATTCAATATTGTGTATAACAAGCAGAGATCCTAGGTCGAGTTTCACTGTTACCCTTCATAGAAGAATAGTTCTATGGACTTGGACTAAGGAAAAAGTTCTGAACTATACACATTAGGGCTTGTATTGAACAATTCAGCATAACCGTGATACTTGTGCATGTTGTGCTCTGGAGAGAGAGAGAGAGAGAGTGAGAGAGAAGAAAATCATCTTCTTGACTGGTATTGGCGCTTACCGTCGCTAAAGCCCAAGCTTTAATTACGCTTTGCTCCGACAGATTTTGGCTCTTTTGCGCTTTTAGCTTTTGAATATTCTGCCCTGGGCAACCTTTAGTTGGAATCAGCTAATTCTTAACAAGTTGGCTCATCTATAGCATGTTTATTAATTTATGTCTGGTATCTTGGGAATCTTGTTGTATGAGTTATTGTGTTTTAGCTTACACTTACGGCTGTGAAATGCAGTTCAAACAGGTTGAAGGCTTGTCTTCTCATTCTCATGAGTATGCAGTAGAAGTCCGTCTTGCTCCAGATGAGAGTCACCCTTTTCAATCTCTGTCCACTCAACAAAGTACACGTACTCGTGGCAATAACTCATATGGTTCTATATCTTCTGATGCAATCTCAGTGAAATGGAATGAAGTATTTTTCTTCAAAGTTGATTCACCGGTCTGTACTCTCTTCCTCCACAAAAGTCTTGTAGGAATTGTAC